AAGGAATGTCTCCTTTCATTTTTCCCATACAAGCATTTCTGGCCCATTCAGTGAAAGCCGTAGTTCTCACGCACTCAACATTATCTAGTGTAATGTTGTAAAAATGTAATACAAGACGAGCGTATAAGGAAATGTGACTTTGGAGCCTATTCAAAGGTGAAATCGGCGATAGCTAGCAGATGTGGTGCCGGCTTATAGAATTGAAACACTGAAAGGCACAGTGAATCGGTCGGAAGCTATACCAGAAGCGACCATCTTGCAATTGTAAAATGAATTAGCAATTCACAGCTTGTACTCACGGCACGAATGTAACAAATCAATTTCAAACCAATTTCGACCTTAACACCACCAAATAGAGTCGAACTAATATGCAAACAAATGTCTGTCTAACAGGCATTCCCACGGACGATTTCGAAGAAGTTCGAATTTTGAAAATTTAAAGTATCAAAGGGTTGCCAGCCTTAAAATCCCAACATCTGGTAAACAGATGCGTTTATTACTCGCATTGTATTTGTGTGAATTTTATAATCTGTGGCTAAACAAAAAACTCTTTGTTTTCTTTTAGCACTATTTGTTAAGTGTGTGAATCTTGTAGTGTGAAATGTTTACGACGCTAGTGCAAAGAACAAGATAATAAAACAATGACAATGTATACAGAAAAAAGATGTTTTTTATATTGTTGATCAATTCAGTCTATGGATTTCCGAATATCATAAGCGAAAAATAGAGGACAACTCATCTTAAGTAGATATAGTGTTTTTAAATACAATTCTGACGGTTTAAAACGCGATATATATTAATTGAACTTATACGAATATTATTTTTAACTACGGCCCGACGTTTCAGATGTTTCAGACGTTGTATTTAAATCGTGAACCCTTTGCTTATCTGTATTCTGTTATAAAAAGTAATGAAGAAAACACAGAGTATAGAAACAGCTATTACGCATAAGATAACTATCCTAGCTCTTACAATTCCGTTAACGCAATCATCAGTGAAGGGACGACATAAAGATTGTGTGAAGCATACATTGCTTTATAAGATAATTATAGTCATTTGACAAAAATGAGATATAATGGCTGTGAGAATGAATTTATAGAAGAAAAGTATTAATACTACACAACGCAACGTCTGTAATATACAGTATTCGCTAGTAGTACCTACACGTGAAAAAACACTTTAAACGGTTTAAAACACGTAATATATTATTACTTTATTATTTTTAACGATCCGTCGTTTAATGACAAAATATGATTTTGCTAGCGCCCTCAGTTTCTACTTAATCGCAAAGCATCCAAAATATGGGACTTAATTAAAATAAGTCAAATATAATAATGTTTAACTAAACCGTTACACATTACTGATCTAATTTAAGATGTCACATTAGGTAAAACTTGAAAAGAAACAAATAGAAAAAAATCAATGTTTTCGTAACTACCCTCTTTTTTCAAATTTCTTCCATTATTCAAAGATGGTGCTGAATAAGTAACATGTGAATTGACTCCTAGCAATTGTAGCACGCAATGTATCGGAGTCACGTCGCTATCTTGGACCCCTGCAAGGAGTCAGAAGGTCACGAGGTCGTGGGATGGTGGCCGGGACCGTTTCTAAGTCTTCCTCAAGCTTACGTAAGTTTAGTACTTAGTTTTATGTTTGTGAAATGTAGCTTCAAACGAGTATTAACATTGTAAAAACGCGTGTCTACAAAGGTTTTAATGGCAATTTTACAAGGAATAGTTCTTATGTATAGATAAGACCAGTATAGATGTTTATAAGACGCGGCTAAGGTTATTAGACAATCTCTTTAACATCGCCGTTAACAACTCCGTTGGTCCCTTGCGAAATTAGATTCTAAATAACCGTTGACGGTTGTAATCCGTGAAATAAATTGGCAACACCGAGGAATCGGAATCGTTCGAAATTCGAATCTTTGAGACGGTCGCATTCCGCGTCGGTTTTCTCACGATCATTAGTTCTGAGCGTTTCAAATTCCGAATGCGTGATCTACAGATTTGTGGTCTCCGCTCGATTGTTTATGGTATACGCTCTTCGGAGTAATCATCGCCGCTCATGAATATCATTTAGTCTATTTTTCTTTCTACCCTCATAAGAAATGTATTTTTCTTATTGTAAGTAAAAAAAATACTCATAAAATCTACGAAGATATTTCCAATAAACCGCGCAGTTGCAACGATTTCCACAAATTAGACACACACGTATTCTGCATCTAAAACATCCCTTTCTAACAATACGACAACGATAGAGACGGTAATGACATCTGCCTTCTCAATAGGTAGCGACTGTTGAGGAAAAATAGGCCGAAGACGTTAAATGTTAAAGGGACATCTGCTCTTGTATCTGATATAGGAAAGAGACGCCCCAGGACGAGAGAAAGAGACGGAATACGGTAAAAGGTGATACTAACAGCTGATACATTTTTTGCCACACCATTTATAACCTTTAATGCTTTTAGGAATGGTCAAGAACGAGTCGGCTTTTTATTTTAAGCAGAATCTATATATAGCGTATACGTTGTTTATTTTCTTTCTAAAGTTAATAGTAGGTATATAAGTTTTTATATCTATAATATTATATTCTGTATCGACCGACGGAAAAACTTAGGTTACTTAAATTAGATTTGTAATCTAACTTTTAATATTTTGTTTGTACTGCGTTTTTTTCATGTAAATAAATAATAAATAAATAATATTAAAACACGAAAATTCGCATTTTAAGGTTTTTTCAAAAAATTGCACATGACTAATTTTTTTACGATAAAAAGTACTTAAAATGTTTTTTTTTTTCATTTTTATGAAAGGTAACTTTCCATTTGTCTTTCTTATAGACAAATTTGGTTCTTGATTGAGTCAGAAATGATCATCACACGCCATCAGATAGCATTTACTGAAGATAACAGTTGTACATACCTAAGGATATAAATAAAACAATATTTCATACACAATACGGGTATATTGAAAAGCCTGCACATGCTTTGTTGCTGCCTCTATCGCACATAAGAAAAATACTAATGCCATCTCTATTCAAACTACAGCTGTTTCAAAACGGTATCGGACCCTTGCGCCTACGCACGATTTAGGGCTGCCAAAACGATTGAAATATAATATTATCTACTTATAATGTAAATAGCCAGACATTATTGGTTTTTACTTTTATTTACATATCTTAGTAAGGGAGAATGAGGTCAACAAATAGAAAAGAGCTAAATTATTCGATATGCTTAAAAGCTTAGTAACTTCGATGATTTAGGGTTATATGGAACTCTAGCGAGTTCATTTTTAATTAAGACTTCAAGTTACCTGGTAGAGATTACCTACTGTTTAGCGATAAGGCTGCATTTTATTTATAAGCTAGTTTATAAGATTTTGTATTCATAAAACAAATCCTGTGGTTTTTAATATAATAGAGTTATGTAATAATAAATAGAGTAAAATAAATAAAATAAATTAATTATTAAAGTATAGGCTCTGAACACAGCTTCAAGTATTTTTCAATTTAATTGTTTAAATAGGAGACGTTGACAACCCTACAAGAAGTCAGCTGCTAGGACTATTGTAAGAAATTCCAAAACAGCTGTTAAGTTTTTCAATTCGACCGTTCACTGCCTTTTATATAGTCTGGATACCGGTTTTTTAGCGAATATTGACTTAATTGCAGCAAAAATTATTACAAAGGATGTCGTCTCATACTCGAAGTTCAATTTTTAATTATTGCTTCAGTACACAGAACAAAGAACAGTGTTGATGAAGTAAATATATCTACGTGTAATTGGAACGGTAAGTTTAATTTATCGTAAGTAACTAAGGCCATGTTTTACCCCGTTTTTTACATGTATGATACATGATACGAAAGACTATGAGGCTACTAGAGCCAGAGTGGCCTAATAACAAAAAACTATAATTTTCAATAATAAGTAAAATAAAATGCACTATTAACTTAGGTGAAAATGCATTTGCACTCTTATTTGCATAAGACTTATGTTAACAAGACTTTAAAAATATAAATAAGTCAAGTCAAAATTGCAGTTAGGCTACTCTGGCTCTAGCTCATATTAAAATAATAATAAATCAGGAGATTTTAAAACAAGATCTGGCAAGGACCCCGTGTCTAATTTCGAAAGCAATAGAGCCAAGTAATTCGAATTCGGAACATAGGTACGCCATGTTGACATCTGGCGTGTTCCGGCTTTACCTAACTTCCGGCAACTCACACCGCCATCTGGCTGATTAGCTTTGGAAGTGCTTTGTTTTTTTTTTTCCGCCAAATGTCACAAAAGGCGACTTACAGTAATTGCAAACTGGTGTAGACAAGGAAACAAAAAAGACAAAAGGATAATTCGGTTTTTAAATTATCTTACAGCATCTGGTGTTGACAACGATATTACGTATTTTGTATTCTTGAGCGAAATTTCAACACCGAACCAGGTGAAAAAGAAAACGTTTATAAATGGCCCAATTAATAATTATTACAAAAAATAATATATTTTATACACAAAAAGATAATACTGACTGTTAAAAACGCGAATTCAATTAGTTATTGTTTTGCAGCAGCCGTAACCAATAAACATCGCAAAACATTTTGAACTGTTAAAAGTGTTTTTTTTAATTATTAGCTAACGTGAACTATAGACAGTAGTAACAAGACGTAAAATAACGTTATTTCTCTAAAATCTTATAAAACCATCTTTAGTTACACAAGGCATTATTTCTTAATTGTATAAGACTGTCGCCTAAATCTGTACCATAAAATACCTGGCGATATTGGCTTTTCTTTTATTGGATACAAGGTGTAAGACAGCTGTACCATAAAGCATAAAAGTTGTATTCAGCAGATGCAACTGGTAGTTAAATTGCTAAATTATATGAACATCTGATATTTAACGATCTACCCTCGTTTTCTAAAATAGCCGAACCATTTTTAATCGACTTACTGTTATGGACAATAAATAACTACCTACATATTAATCAATCTGAACCAAAGAATCAGGTGCATGCATCACTGCACTGGTTCGAATCCTGCTGTTTACAGTGCTGATCTTCTAGAATCAACATTAGCATGGTATGTATTTTACGCGAGTAGGACACTTAACGGTAGGAAACGCGAAATATATATAATTTTTTACGAAATACCCTTAGCCATATAACTAAATAAGATAAGCTGTCGACTTTTTTGGTTTTATTCCGGACGTGACTTATACTTCATGTAACCAGTCGTGGTCACGGGGAGATACTGATACGTCGGGCCATAGTTAAAATAAAGTAAAAGTAACGAATATATTTCGCGTTTAAAACCGTTAAAAGTGCTTCATTTAAAAATAATGATCAATGTGAAGTACCTACGTAGTTAATAGTCACACCCTATTAGACCTGTACCAAGTCAAGCCTCCCCTTGAAAATTTATAAGTACCATTATACGAGAACTATTAGGTCTAAAGCACGCGAAAGCACTAATTTTATTCATAAGAGGCACTAATTTTTCACTCGAGATCTTAATTCAATGGCGCCCATTGTTCCAAATTTGAAATAGGGGGTTTCCTAGATACAGTGTTGCACACGATTTAGGGCAGTAGAATGAACGCTGTTCCAAATTTGAATCAGAGAAGGTGAACTTAGTAACAGCTTAGGCCAGTTATATTACTAAAAATTTAAACGGATTTAAAGTATTATATAGATCTGTAACTACCAACTAAAATTAAAGTTAATTTTATTGTAGCGCAATGAGCGCTGTTCTAAATTTGAATGAGTACTTATGAGTTTTGACTACAGTTTTGCCAAGATATTAGAACATTTGTAGTAAAAAAAACGGGTTTAAAGCTAAACATATACGAACAAAGTTATGGTTAGATTATTTTTTTAACCGATGCATATCAAACATAACATATAAAAACCACTCTTATTTACGAAGTTCTTGAAATCATCTTATGCTAATAATAAATAATTACGTAGTTTTTCTAACTTTTCTTAAATACTATTTTTTTTAATCGTTAGTTAATCGTAGTTTGGCAAGGTTAGCTTATCGTTAAACATAAAATAGATTAGATTGACGGTTAACGGACAAAAACGCGTCCCGTATACGCGCGCGTCCTTCCTTCCTACCACAGATAATAAATTGACAAAAAAGGTTGTTTGTTTACGCTTTTTATTTGAAACCCATAGATTTTCGTAATAAAAACAAAATATCGGTATGTAAACTCACCGAGACCGATTTTCTTCTTAATCTTCTTCAGGACCTTCATTTTCGATCCCTTCTTGTCCTTGACCGGCGTGGTCTCCGGCTCCAGAGCCATCGGCGGCAGGACGAGGGTCTGCGGCGGCATCGCCCCGTGTCCCGAAGCCCTGGGGCACGCGGGACAGTGGCAGGGGCCTCTCGCCTGCCGCACGCTCATACAACTGCTTACACCCATCATTTATACGGCTTTACGTGGTTATTATCAGGAACAATAACTTTTCATATCAAAACACTTACACAGTCACGATATACGAACTCACAATAATTAAACGTCACTTGTATTAACACGAACGACGTCCGCACACGACGGGCCCTACCGGCGGAGTGACGAACGAAGCGAGCGCGCTGTGCATCAAAGTTCAGGCAGTCTGCGCGTGCGCCACCCCGCATTCAAATAACTACCGTATCAGAAACACGATAAACGCCATAATCGAATAGCACAATTAGTACATACGTTCTTACATTTGAATGTCAGCAGCTGCGTACAACAGCCCCTACGTAGAGACATCTGTCCCTTTTATTCCGATAGGGATGAAAAGAGTGAGAATTCTTTAAGGGAGGGTGGACGTCGCCCTTTTGTCTTAGTTGTATGGGGAAAGGTGCGTTTCGCGAATAAAATTTAAAAGTTTAAATTAATTCGCTATTAAAGGTGTTGGCAGTGAAAGGGTCAGAGAATAAAATAGATGGGTACGAACTATGAGGTAGAATGGATGAAATTCATTTATTAGTTATTTAGACCAGTCATCGGCTAAATTATAAACATCAAAGGCTACTTTAGATTTACAAAAAAAAAAAATTCTGACTGTAGTTTTCGCAAGTACATATACAAATTTAAATAAAACACATTTAACGATGTGAAACGCGAAATTATTTTTTAATGTTATTCATGAAGGCACTATATAATTTTTTTCAATAATTACAATTGCTCTGAGCAACAGCACGGAAAGCTGACGTTGCCGGTTCAAGTCCTGCCCAGTCAAATTTTTTTCAATTTATTTTCGATTTTTAAATTATAGATGTATTCAATTAAATAAGTTAAACTTATTTAATTGAATACATTTTTTAATAATTTCAGGCTAACATAAAAACATAACTATACTACGTTTAAACAAAACATTTTAACTTATAATGTTAGAAATGATTTTTAACTTCGGCCCGACGTTTCGGATGCTTCGCTAGCAAAAACGGCTCAACGTACGTTACGTTTAAATAATATATTTCGCGTTTCAAACCGTTAAAGTGTTTTATTTAAATGTGTAATACTCGCGTCACCCTACAGACAGCGTTGAACTATACTACAATATAAAAATAATGCAATTACTAATTCGCAGTTTTAAAGTAAACATCAACCTTACATAGGATTTGGACACATAAATATGTCTCCCGAAAACAGACACACAAAAGACCCAATTCGAGAGTGATACAAGGGAAATCGGGGTCGGTGTTATGAGTAACATAATAAAGGAAACTAAAATTGGCCTTCGTTAATCTTTGTCCGTTTGCATTGTCTTTGTTTGTTTGTCTGTTGAACAAACACATGTGGAATCGCTGTAGGTATATTTATGAGAACGTTTCCTTTTGGCTTTTCAATCCAGAAGGACTTTAAAATGTGAAAAAACACTGCGGACATACACAAATCCCATCACACATATGTGTGTCGGTTTCGATGATAGATTTTACTAACAGAGTAGTTGTCAAAGTTCTGACTGTTTTATTTGAAATATGTAACACTTTACGTATTAGATAACTTAATAAGTATATTTAAAATGTTGAACAAAACAAAACAGACTCTGGTAATGCAGAGTCTATTTACCATTTCACATACTTTCTGTACACATTTAGGTGAAACAATTTAACGGTTTAAAACGCGATATATATGTTAAACCTATTTGAAAAATACTTTAACTACGGCCCGACGTTTCGGATGCTTTGCAGGAGTCGTGGTCAGCTGCTGTCTCCCCGTGACCACGACTAAAGTTTTCTAATTAGACTTTAAATTATCATCTTTTTATCAGTCGGTTAAGAGCTTTGATAGTGAGTCAGAAATGGCGAATTAGTGAGTAATTTAGGCTTTAGTACTCGCTCGGGTTAATTTGGTCAATTAGACAATTAAATAACGAGTTCCTGGCTTATCATTAGCCATTGGAGAAAGTCATTATAGCCTATAACACTTAAGAGACTTAAATACGTCTAAATAAAACATTTTAGACGGTTTACAATGCGAAATGTACCTATTTACAAATTGAAATAATAAATTAAAACAGTTAACTGATTAACTTTATAGTTTATTATTTTCAAATTGTAAATATTTACGCGATTTAAATCGTTAAAAACCGTTTTATTAAAATATGTATTACCTACCCTTAATCATTAACGATTGGAGAGTCATTATATCTTCACTCTAAGCGTATTTCGCCAAATCTCATAGACATATATAAAATTATTAGCCCACGCCCAGCGTTGAACGCTGCAGCCCAGCTTTTTACGAGAGTAGCATTGTAATAGTTTTGATACTTTAACACGTTGTAATAAAACACTTTTTGACTTTTCAAAACGAATGAAAAAAAAAAAATTGACTCAATTGTAAAGTTAAACAGTTAACATTAAAATTCATTATTTTCAATTGTACAAACATTTCACGTTTTAAACCGTTAAAGTCTTTAATTTAAATGTGTAGGTACAACTTGCGTAAACTAAAATACATAACTGTAACTGTCTTCTCCACGAATCATTATATCAACTTTTCATGATGCAGTGGTTTTAGCACTGCGAACTCATTACCTTACTAGCTGTGCCTGTTTTTTAACATCATTTAAAAGAAATCGTTCTTTCATACATATTTTTGGATGTCAATAATGTATAAAATGTATTAATTTTTTTTACTAATAATTAGACTTGCAACAATATTCGTTACTATTTATATGGCCTATTCGCTGCTTTAAATATATTCGGTCGAATACCAATATCTACATATTATTGCGAATAACGAATACTTAAATAATATATTTTGTCATAGAGAAATAATTGGTAAAATGAAAAATTAAAATCGATTGCTTACGTATATATTCATATTTTTATTTCTGTTATAATCATATAAGTAGTCATTGGTACATAATACTATAATAGTAGTAATTGGTACATAATAATAACGAGTACGTTAGAACAAAACAAAGGAGCGCGAAACAATTACGTCTGTACAAGTTTTTGGAGCAAAAATCCAGCCGAATACTTTTGCCTAATATTCGACTATTCGGTCAGGGGTCTCGCCGAATATTCGGTATTCGGTATACTCCGAATAATACTATTCGTTGAAGTCTAAATAATAATAGATATCTTTTTTTGGCATTAATTTAGTAAATTTCATTAGTAGGAGTAGAAATAAATGTAATTACAATAAAATAATTAATACGAAAAGATTAAATTATATTTAAATGTGAAATTATGCCAAAAGGGTCTTGCATCAGCATACGTTGCAGCATGGTTATGCTACAACACTGATTTGTCAGCAAAAACTCTATTGTTCGTTTGTTAAATTACTATAAAAAGTTGGCCACCGTGGAAATCGAACCCCCGGCCCTTTAGAGCCATTTCCAATGCCATATTTCTTTTGATTTCAGGCACCGCGTCCAGCCAAGACCCACGGCAACTGAAGGGTTGGCACATGTCGACATTCCACTAATAAATGTCGCCGAGTCGTCATAATACGCGAGCCAGCTGTGAAAAACACCTTGCGCAGGAGTCTGCGCGCTTTTTGCCGCGTCAGCTGCTTAGATTCGGTGCGTTGACCTAGACGGATTCGAAATTCGGGGATACTGGACGAAAAGGGGGCACGTCTCCCGTGATTACGGCTGGATCAACGCATTTTTAAATAGGATTAACTAATATATATCGCGTTTTAAACCGTTTAAGTGTTCTTTTTAAGAAAGAAGGCAGTCAAGCGGGGGGTTTACGTTATGTCTAGTGCAGTACCTCAGTTAAAGCCAAAGATTCATAAGTTCACGTAAGTAACTACTTAGGTATAGTTATGAACGTCACACCAGTTAAAAATTACGACTCTAAATCTACATTTAAAACCAGTTCACAAAACAAGAGCGTAGAACGAACGAGAAGAACTGGCAAGAAACTCGCCGCCACTCCTTTTATCGCCAATTTATATCTAAGCAGATTATTTTGGCTTTCGATATTCGAATTCCGAACCGAAACGCGAATGAACTCGGCTTTTTCATCTGTGGACGGTGGTTCGTGATCCAGACAGAATTTCGAAATTCCTACCACGCATTTAATATCAAGATTTCGAGGCGAACTCCAAAATGTTTTAAGAAAAAAAAAATATTAGAAACATGTTGCGCCCGGTGGGAATCGATCTCACGGCCCATTTTTGTTTATTAGCAATAGATTGCTATGATTAGACCAACGAGAGCGTCAAAAACGAGATAACAAATTATAGAGTGGATTAAAAAATGGCTTAAAATACATATGTATATTACGTAACAAATACTTAAACAAAGGTAAACAAGTGGCGGTAAACAGCGGTAAACTTAAGCGACATCTTTTGTAAACATCAAAGACTATTTTAGAGGTAAATAAAACCGAACTCAAAAACCATCTACTGTTTAAAACTCAAAACTCATTTCGCCATAAAACTATATGATTGTACTATTTAAATGTTTCATAAAAAATAAAAAAAAATTGATAATCCGTTTATTATCACAAGTACCCACCAATTTACAATAATTATAATTAAATAATAAAAAATAAAACTTACAATAAAAAGAATACAAAAATGTACAATTTTAACTTTGTGTTAAAAGGCATCAAGACTCAGCAAGGGTTGCTAAGCGCTGATTTTCAGTCTGTCCCTATCAGATAACAAGTAGCACCAAAAAAAAATTAATATTGTGGAAAGTTTGGAACGATATGTGAACTTACAATGAGTACATGAAATTTGGCTCGCCACAAATTAATAAAATTTTATACAAATATTTTTTTACAATAGTGAAAATATTTTAGAGATTTCATTGTTTCCCCAGCCTCAGATCGTATGGCAAAGGTAAAGAAGACTAATTTTGCCACACAGACCTGTAGAAGTTAAAGGAGTTATCAAAATCTTTAAATTAAAACACTTCAACGGTTCAAAACGCGGATTATATTCGTTTAACTTATTTACTAAATTAT